GATCCAAATCTACCGTTAATTCGTTGAAACCCAGTGTAAAGAAAATCCCAATTCTATGATTCCCGCATTTTGTTTTGCAAGTTTTTCAAGTCTAACCAAATCTCCCATTCATCATTGTCCAGATCAAGCACAAAATCAACAGTCAGGAACACTGACTGGGATGTTGAAAGGCACGCTCGTCGCCAAACCACTCAAACTGGTCTCCTTGAATTCGTTTCTCATTCCCTTAGCGGTCAGACGCATCGCGCGGATGGCGTCGTCCAGCCTGACCTTCTGCGTGCCCGTCTCGCTGCTCAGAGCGAGGTTGGCGCTGGAGATGGCCTTGATGGCACCCAGAGCGTTGCGCTCGATGCACGGCGCCTGCACGAGGCCGCCGATGGGATCGCACGTCAGACCAAGGTTGTGCTCAATGCCGATCTCAGCAGCTTGCTCGATGGCCTCGGGGCTCGCGCCCATGCACGCCGCGAAGGCGCCCGCGGCCATGGAACAAGCCACGCCGACCTCCGCCATGCACCCGCCCTCGGCCGCCGAGATGGTTGCGCCGCGCTTGTAGAGCATGCCGATGGCAGCGGCGGTCAGGAGGAACGTCGGGATATCCCGTTCCGGGTCGTCGCTGATGAACTCGATGGTGTACTTTAGCACGGCGGGGATGATACCGGCAGCGCCGTTGGTGGGCGCCGTCACGATGCGACCGCCCGCTGCGTTAGTCTCATTCACCGCGATGGCGTAGACCGTGAGATAGTCCATCGTGGGGAACGTAGTCCGGCGCGAGGGAGACGGGGTGATGGGGTGGTCGAGGGAGCCCAGCACGCGCGGAGGCGACCTTCGGCCCGGGCCGAGGCAGACGCTCGTCTTCGACTTGCTGTCGCCAATCGTCGCAGGGGTTTTGTTCGATGCCGCCAAACCTGAGGAACCAATGAACTGGATGTTCTTGCCGTCGCTCTTTTGCTCGTTTGGGTTGGGCGACGTCTGGCCGGCGGTGGAATACAAGCCTCGGGTCAGTCTCCGATAGAGTGCGGGTGCGCGCCGATGGAGCTTCAGGGACCCCGGCAGCTTGGTGTCGAGCGGCGCCTGCACGCTTTCCAAGATGCTGGTGTCCATCACCTGCCAGATCTTGAAGAGCTTGTGGTAGATTTCCTCGTCCGTGTAGCCGTGACTCTTTTCATTTTCGTAGACGAGCTGGGCAATTGTGAGGTTGTGCTTGCGACAGAGCGAGAGCAGGCTCGTTGCGTCTCGGAACGGGTACCGAGGGCCCTGGCTGCCCGACTCGCTCGTATTCTCGGGGTTTTCTGAGATGTTGACACCATTTCCCTCAGATGCAATCGGCGACAGGCTGTCTGATGAGTTTCCCAGAAGAGCCGCGTCGTCTGTTACTTCGGGCCTGACTTCGGCGCCCGTCCGACGGTCTCCCGCGGCATCGGATCGTCTGATCTCCTTGTAAAAGAGATTCTCTGCCAGATCCACCGGATGTCTACCAGCAGTATCCTCTGATGACGGGTCCGGCGAGTCCACGCGGGCGACGGAGGATGAGGATGAGGATGAGACGTCGGGGTTGATTGACAAGGCGCCGTTGACAACGAAGCCACCGCCGACGCTGAACATGTCGTTGGTCGCCAAGACGTACCCATCCGCATCGAAGACTGTGAAGCGCATGCCGTTGCTGTGTGTTGGCAGCTTGCGACCCCATTCCCAGACGAAGTCACGCTCGTAGTCGAAGTCAACCTCCTTACCCTTGCCGTCTGCCAGTCCGTGCCCTAGGTATAACTTCTTCGTGTTCTTGATCTCAGTGAATCTCTCCGGAACGTAGGCCGTGTCGACTGTCTCGACATCCGCGCTCTCGAGACCGAGCAAGAGGGCAGAGGGTGTCATGTGGCCCTCGCCGGTGAGCGCCAGACTGCCATAAATGGAAACCCGAATCTTGTTGACCTTGTTCAAGAGATTCGCCTCTGCCAAATCAGCAACAAAAATGTTGCCAGCGCGCATCGGACCGACGGTGTGAGAAGATGACGGACCAATGCCGATGGAGAACAGGTCAAAGGTTGAGATGACGGCATGCTCGTGGTCGGCCTCGCTGTAACTCCCCGTCTCCTCTTCATCTTCGGCAGCATTGCGCCTCCGAGCTGTGCTGCTCAGAAATCGCTGCGATTGAATGCCCAGACATCCTGTAGACCTGATTGGCCTCGCCGCATGTCGTGATATCGTCGTGTTGAGAGTCGAGGGGGCTCGGCAGCCAGCGATGAAAGCGCTCTGTCCAGCCCGCGTTAAAGCGCGTTGAGCCGGCGCCCCACGTAGCAGGGCGAGCTGCCGGATCGATGAACAGCTCATCGCTCTCCCAAGAATCAACAACGGCGGACGGAAGAGTATCAATGGCGAGCTGTCTTTATGTATGGAAGAAGACACGAAGAGCTGACGAACGAAAAAAGAACTTTACTGTGACAGAAGGCGGTCTGGGGTACGCCTGGGAGATAAGAGCAGAGCTCTCCCTGGATCTGTGCTGGATCTGGGGTAAGACAAGCAATCAGCCCCAGAAATCCTGACTCTGACCAATCATCCAGCCGGAATTGGTCAACCCTTGTGAGGTGTGCTTGATATGGACAGATGATACGTAATAGTCTGCTCGTTTTATATGGAAAGAAAAACCTTGATGAACTCATGACAGTTTCAGCGACGTTGAGCCCACGCGCCTGCGGGCCATGCAGCAGCGTTGGTGTCGAAAACATGCGCATGTGGGCTGCTACCGATGGTGTTGGCTCGCCATCATGAGTGCCTCGTCACAATTGGACGGACGGATGTCGTAAGCGGCGTTAAGCCTTTTCGGGGAGGTGATGCAGGGGGTGGAGGGGGAATCATCGAACGCCAGGCAGACGTTGTCTTATCTCATCAAGCTCTCTTTCAACATCGATTACCTGCTGTTTCTCTCTCTTTTCATCAATATTCACTTCTTACTCGCATGTCTGTTTACTTTAGAAAGATGCCAGAGATAGAAGAGTACCACAAACCAGCTTCACGGCACACGGACGATGATGCCGAGCCCGGCTCCTCATCCGAAGCGATGCCAACAAACCCCCAGCCGCAGTCCGGCTTCTTCTCCGCCCTGCCGCTCGAAATACGTCAGAACATCTATCGGCACTTGTGGATAGCCGCCGGATCGACGCAGCATGTCTACAAGGCCAGCCCCTCCCCGCTGGCGCCCCTCTCTCACTGCGCTTGCATCTCGGACCCGGACGCCGAAGACGTCCGCGAGATCAAGCTCACCAACGTTCTGGAAGCCCCGCCCGCGGAGCAGGCGCCGGAATGCCGAGATGGCGGCTTCACCGCAGAGGCCATGGCACAGCGTGATGAGATCAACGACTGGCGACTGCGCAACGCTTCACTCTGGTGCAACCACTGGGCATGTGAAGAGGAACCGCCCGTGCTGCGGCCTGTGGATGATTCGATCGGCGATAGTGACGGCGATAAGATGAAGCGGCGGACGATGGTGAAGGAGTTTAGCCCCTTTCTGGCCATCCTCCTCGCCTGCAGGCGCATGCACCAGGAGGCGGTCGACTCCATGTACGATGACACGGCGTTTTCATTCATCGGAATTGATGCCCTTTCAAGATTTTTGGAAACGACCAACGCCGAATCACTGCTTCGGATCAACACCCTTCACCTCATCTGGGCTGCCTCCATAGAATCATACATGGACCCTGAGGATGAAGAGGCCATTACAGCCAAGATGCAATGGTTTGACCTTTGGTCGAAGGCTGCTGACAAGCTCCCTAGACTGAAGGAACTTCGAATTTGGATGTACCCGCAATACGCCCGATACCCGATGCCTCATGAAGAATGGTTTAAGCCTCTTCACTTATTCAGAAATGTGCCCACATATGAGATATCATTGAGATGGTTTCAAGACCCCGCGACACCAGACACTGGGCCCCTGGATTTCTTAGAGGAGGCACCCTTCAAATATGAGCGGACGCCACCACTCGGGGAGAACCCCTTGCATTTCCATTGGCGTCGGATGATGGGACTCTTCCTTGATGAACCGAGATCTATGCCGACACGGAGGCAGAAGAAGAAAAGATATCTTGGCCGGTCGTGAGATGGTGCCTCGCTTGGATATACGATAGTGATGAAATATTAATCATTCGATGATGACACTCATGGCAATGAAATGGCAAGTGAGTTGCGAGTCGACTATAACTGAAGGCTTTTCTCACACACTCATCTCAGCTTAGGTGTTCATTTAGAGGGTTCTACCACCGGACTGTAAACTTGCTCTCAGTGGAGATTCAATGCTACCGTGGATGACATGGCCAGAACCTTAATACTTATTCAGAAAGCACTCTTATCACGCTTATTAAGCCGTAGACGAGAGGAATTTGGTTGATTAAAGAAGCATTTAGACTTTTCGCTCTTGCATAATCGGCAGGTGTCTTGACTCGTTTCGCAACAAGCGGGGAAATGACGACGCTCTTTACCGGCACTGGAATTACTTGCTAGTAGAAAAATTGGCAACTCTTGAGCTGCCGGTGCAACCTAATCGGATTTTGCGTAAAATACGTGGTTCAGTACCTCGGACAATGATTCGCCGGTGATGGATACGAGTGACTCAAAAGATACACCCACTGTCAACAAAGCGTCAAAACCCACCACATGCTGTCCCTAATTTACGGCTCTCACTACGACACTGCGCACTGTGTTACTAGAAACCCAAAATAACTGGGATCTTCTTCACCGACGTCCTCGCCAACCCTTCTCGACTAGGACTGATTGTCTTGGTTGTCGGCGCTCTCTTCCTGTTGGCGAGGCTCTTCAAAAGCAAAGCTCGGCTTTCGGACATTCCAGCAGTTGGAAATGCTACAACCAAAGAAGCAAGAAGAAAGGAGTTTCTCTCCGGTAAAGCCAGGAATCTCTATGTTGAGAGCTACAAGATGGTACGGGGTCCAGCGAGCAGGGAAATGAAATGAGCTAGGCTAAGTAACTCCCAGTTCAAAGATAGTGCTTTTCGCATTATGACTGCGAGACGTAAGATAGCCGCGATTGACCGAATCATCTCACGAAAGAAGCTTACCCGGCGTGTAGAGTCCGAGTGTGTCGTTGTATCACCAGAATTCTTGAAGTACCTGAAAAAGCTCCCTGAAGACATTCTAAGCTTCAACGAGGCAGTAGAAGAGGTAAGAGAAGAGGAGTTCGCTGAGAATGGCTCATGCTGACTCTCTGGTAATGAAGGCTCTCCAGACAAAGTACACCAACATCACAAGCAATATCCCCACGATACCGCATACTCTCAAAACTTCACTTAATCCCGCCCTGTGTAAGTTGCGCCAGCAAATCACGGCCCGTACCTGCTTGCTGATCGTGCAAGTTCGTTTGAATCCGATCATTCTAGATGAAGTCTCGAATGCGATCCAAACAGAGTTCCCCCAGTCAGCGGACTGGTCGGACGTTAGAATCAACGGCAAGCTAGCCCGCATAGTAGCCAAAACATCAGGCCGAATCTTTGTTGGGCCCGATCTCTGTAGAGACGAGGTCTACCTCGATGCGGCCGTCAACTACACCCTCGACATGACAGCTGCTATCCAGGCTGTGGGGTTCATATCCCCCTGGCTGCGTCCATTCCTAGCGTCCCGAGCACCGCAAGTCAAGAAATTGCGCCACCGCTTCCAGCAAGCTGACGATTTCCTCCGGCCCGTGGTCACAGCCCGCCGCCAGGCTGCACTCCATGGCCTCAATGAGAAGGACAAGCCAGATGACATGTTGCAATGGTTGATGGACTCCCAAGACAAATTCGGTCAACAGAGTGATCGTGAAATATCGAAGTATCAGTTAAGCCTGACCTTTGCAGCCATTCACACGACAACGGCAGCATTGACCAACGCATAGGTTCAATTGAAAGTTTTACTTTTTGAAATTGGCTGATTTTCATGTAGCTTTTATAATCTTGCGGCAACACCCGATCTCGTGGCAACCCTGCGACAAGAGGTCGAGGAGGTTTTTGCTGAGACAGATGGCAATATTACCGCAGTCGCACTGCAAAAAATGGTGAAGCTAGACAGCTTCCTGAAGGAGATCATGAGATACTATCCTCAAAGTGCCATTAAGACACATGCTTCACCTGTGAGATCATCGGCTAAATATCACCCCTCAGCGGCATTCCAACGCAAGGTCATGAAGCCAGTCACTCTGCCAAACGGGCAAACAATTCCTACCGGTGTCATCCTGGAGGTCCCTTCACATGCCATCAACTACGATGAAACGATACACGCCAGTCCGGACGTCTTTGACGCGTTAAGATTCTACAAGATTCGAAAGGAAAAGGAAGCTGCTTTGAAAGGTAAAATTCCAGCGGAGGATGCCTTTGCGGAAGCAGCAACTAACAATCAGTTTGCGAGTGTGGGCGATACGAGTCTTGCTTTTGGGTACGGGAGGAATGCCTGTCCTGGCCGGTTCTTTGCAGCGAACGAGATGAAGATGATTTTGGCGACTACGTTCTTGAAGTACGACTTGAAGATGCCTGATGGCTGTACCGAGAGGTACAAGAATCTCACTTTCGGATCTCAGGTATGCATGCTCTATTGCCTGTGAGGATTAGCTAATAATATTATCGCAGTCAGTTCCAGATCCCACCAAAGCCATCATGGCGAGGCTGCGGAAATAGACCCTACGGATAATCCCTTCTAGATAGCATTATGTAGAAACGAACATGCAAAGAACTATTCTGGACTCTCTGCAGTATTTTGCAGATAACCTAGATCACTCAATGTAGCTCTCACGATTCCGTCACTCAATTCCCATAGGCGCTTTTCCTTCCCCTCATCGAAAGCATGCGGCGCGTACCCAGGTCCTGTTCTGCCCTCAGTGCACGTTTCAGAGGGGACGCCTTCTTGGACATCAGCTAGATACTTGCCGCCCTGGTGTTGCCATTCGGCACCAACAGCAGCCCAGATTGTGGTGGCCGCGGCTTGCTCAGCGGTTTTGATGAGCTTCGCGATTTGAGGAGGTCCAAACAACTTCTTCACGAAGTCATCGCCGACGTGGCGACTCAGGCCAGAGACCACTGCGCCGGGATGAACGGAGGTGGCGTGTAGGTGATATGAGCCATACCGTCGCTCGACTTCGTTCGCCATCCAGATATTAGCTGTTTTTGAGGCGCCGTATGCACTGTGTGCATCATACGTCGTCCTTTCGAGATTCAAATCGTCGAGGTCAACCGAGCTCGCGAGATGAGATCGCGAAGATACCATGACAAGCCTTGAAGGGTACGACGGCCTTACGGACTTGGGGAGAGTGTCCTTAAGAGCTTCGAAAAGGGCAAAGTGTCCCAAATGATTGGTTCCGAAGTGCATCTCGAATTCATCCCTAGTCCTAGCTTTGGGGTGCAACCCAACACCTGCCTTTGATTCAGCATCACGATAGCCATGAACACACTTCAACTTACCAGCATTGCAAATCAAGCAATCCAACGTGTCGCTCAACTGCAGAAACTTTGATGCTGCATCTCGAACACTGGCCAGCGAGTCCAAGTGCATCTCAACGAAGAACACCTTGCCCGGCTTGCCGTCATGCATTATCCGCTTCACGACTTCTTCACCCCTTGCCGTGTCACGACCCGTGATGTAGACATCAGCGCCGGTGGCATGCAACGCCCTGGCTGTCTCGACCCCGATTCCGTTCGTGCACCCCGTCACGAAAAAGACTTTCCCCTGAAGTTTGCCGTCGAGTCCTTGGTCTCGGATGACTTTCAACGCCGTGGGTCGAGCATCCCCAGGACCGTTCGGATCCTCATGGTCCTTATCGTAAGGGGCGATCGGGGTCGAGGCCATCGTTTCGGCCGAACTTCGATTCATCTGAAGGAATCAATCACCGGAGAAAAGGCTGCACCTGTAACATAAGAGTGTTTGCAGGCGACAGTGCGACCATAAGTAGCTGCCCCTCCAGCTCCACGCTGACATGCCAATTAAGGTTTTGTTTCCCACATAGGCAAGTTTCCCATACGAAGGGCGGGTCTGATTCAGACTGTTGCATTGCGCGGCCAGGCCACTCGGTTTCGTTTGGACCGAACTGCCTTTATTTTGACAACGTCCAATCTGAGGGGTTGGAGGACGCCATCATTATTTGACAGGTGACCTAATAGGTGGAACACAGACAAGACCACACCCACACCCATATCGGCGAGTCTTACGCGCCATGCTACAAGGATCTCGATACTTCACGACACTAGCGTCAAACAACTGGCCGGGCTGCTGTTCATGATTCCCCCAAATGGTCGCCTGCTGTTCAAGGCCTTGAATCGTTCAGAGGTACAGAACCTATACCACCGAGAATGGATCTTTTGACAATGTGACTGGAAATCTCCCCGGAAAATTTTAAAGTAGAAATCTCGGCATGGGATCTGCAGCCGGCTTCGGCAGCCGGTAGCACCACGGCCTCGAATGCTGCCATGGCGTCCGTGCATTTGTTTGCGAATAGCGTCTTCACATCAGACGATACAAGCTGAAGCACAGGGGCTGTGAATGACGCTGCTACGAGGTTTGTGCACCGGAAACATTTAAGAAGAACATCTTCGGCGTTCCCGCCCCACGCGCTCAGATGTCGCTGATCTGGCGTCAACTCAAAAACAACAACTCAACCCATCATTTGGTCCCCTTGACCAAGGGTTCATCCAAGTCCTGCAAAAAAAGTCAACTGTTCTCGGCGCCCTGTTCAGACCATTTGACTGCTTTGCGACCGCGGATATGAGGGTCGTTCAGGCTCTTCTGCTGCTCTTGGCAGCGGTCGGCCTCGCACTGGCCGATCCGGCGGCTGAGACCGGAGACATGGACTTGTTTCCGGGCGCAGTCTTTGAGGGCATTGCCTGGCGCGGCGACGAAGCAGTGAGAATTTTGTACAGGCCTTCGATTACTGAAAACGGGAAATTGGCTGATCAAACTTGGCACAGTTGTCCATCAGAAAGCCCGTCACCACCAGCCCCGAAGAGTCCACCACCCAAAAACGCGAAAAGTCCGAAAAAAGCGAAGGGTTCCAAAGGGTCGTCAAACGCAAAGGGAACGTCGGGAGCGAGGGGGGCAAAGGGATCGAAGGACAAAGGCTCGAAGGACAAAGGCTCGAAGGACAAAGGGCCGAAGGACAAAGGGCAGAAGGGGAAGGGTCCCGGGAAGGGCCCCAAAGGATCCAAGGGCGGGAAGGGATCGAAAAGATCGAAAGGCGCGGGAGAGTGACTGGAGAGCCCTGCACCTCGGGTAGAGGAGAGTGCAACACGGGTCTTGGTTGTTATGGGTGTCAAGGGCATAAAACAGTTTGTCAGAAGGGCCCCGGCTCAGGACAATGCTGTTTCAACGAAGACAGCAGGGGAGCCATTTGTGAGCCGATGGCAGGATAATACCAGCAAAAGCGACTGCCATACTACAGGTCACAATCATGCTATATTTTTACGCGGATCTTCTGAGCTTTGATGGATCATTGTTTAACGTCCCGTGGGCCATGGGACGCCGACCTAAATTCGCATAAACTCGCAGTTAGTACGGACAACGGATCCCAAACGATTTTTTTAAGATGTCGAAGCCTTCAGCAGGAACTAGAAATTCGAGATTAAAGACGATCGTGTTGCATTATACTATCAACTCAAGGCATATGCTAATAATCAAAACATGATGCTTCCGTTAGACCTTGGTTGTGGCGTGCTCACTCTCCTCAACATCAACCGGACCGTCTCCCTTCCCCCCTTCGTCGAGTCGAACATTGGCCTGCTCACCATCAAAGATGACCGCAATCTCCTCCAATGCCTTGCCCTTAGTCTCGAGGAACCATCCGTACGCAATGAAGCTCTCGACCGCCAAGATGACAACATAGACGATATAAAAGCGCCAGCCTATGTTCTGGAGTCCGATGGGGTTGACGTACTGGTTGACAAACACAGCAGCTTTAGTTGAGAACACGTAGGTGGCCATGCCCTTTGCACGGATGGAGAACGGCAAGATTTCGACGGAGTAAGCGACCGGCAAGGGCGAGAATGCGATGCAGTAGAAGATCTGGTACACAAAGATGAGAGCGAGAACGGCGATGCCGGCGGAGCTGGCGTTCGTCTCTGCAAAACGAGCGGAAGCGATGGTCCAGCCGATGAAGACTGTGAGCATGCCGATCGTGGAGATTCGGAACAGGGGTCGTCGGCCGACACGTTCGACAAAGAAGGCGGTCGTGAGGGCAAGGCCGAAATTCCAGATGTTGACAAGTCCGTTTACGAGAGCCTGGGTGTTCTTATCCTTGATTCCCACGGTGTCCATGATTCTAGCTACTATTAGAATACAATCTTGATACACTAGGTGAAAACTTACCTTGATAAATAATAGGCGATCAATCCGTTTCCGGACCACTGAGAGAAGAAGCCCATGCCTTGGAATCGCCGTTAGCTATCATCAAAGATGAATAGAGACAATAAGTGACTCACAGATTACAAGGAACATGCGATAGCGATTGCCCTTGGTAGAAACCATCGACTTCCAAGTCGTCGCACCAAGCCCTACAAATGGGGTTAACCACTGAAACTTCCGGACTTTGTGTCGAGGGTTTTCTTACTTTTCTCGTTATCAATGGCTGTCCTGATCTCTTCGTACTCGAGCCTGACTAGTTCCGTCTCTTCCCCTTCTCCATGATATCGCTTGAGAGCCTCAAGAGCATCGTGATCGCGGTCCTTGGAGATGAGCCATCGAGGAGATTCAGGCAGGAACCAGACAGCCGAGAGTTGAACAACGCTGGGTGCCATCTGGAGAAGCGAGGGAATTCTCCATGACCAAGTGCTTGGGATCGTGCGAGTTCCGAAGGCTGTTTGTTCGTTATTAGCTTCCGATTGACTTGATATGAGGGTAGGAGATGACATACTGATCCAAGCTGCAGCGATACTTCCAAGATACCAGCTGCAAAAGTAGACTCCGTTAGTCCAACAGTGTTGAAGCAGATTAGGCTGTATTTGATGCTTACCAGGTGTTGCATATAGCCGTGATGGTGACACGATCTTTGGGATGCGATAATTCGCTGACCAAGCTGGGGGCCGAGGTCGTCGCAAAGGAGAGTCCAAAGCCCAAGATGAATCTGCTAACAACAAACATGGCGAACTCGGTGCTCTCGCACTGGATGATGGCTCCAGCAATCATGATCAGACTTCCCACCGTGATACCCCATCGTCGCCCAAACCTGTCAGCGACCCAGGGGGCAATGGGTGTTGAACAGATGCTGCCCAAAGCCATGATGGCGCTCATCAAGCCGAGGACAGCACCGCGGGGATTGTCGAAGAAGTCATCGAAGTAGGACACTGTCTGGAGCGAGTTCATCATCGAGCCGTCGTAACCGCTGGTGGCATACGAGACAACGGCAGCGGGGAAAAGGAGGAAGTACAACTTCCTCCGAGCCCCGGATCTGTACCATGCCGGCGACTCTTGAGCCAGTTGGGCAATACGAGAGGGCTGGTAGGTTTCGTTTGCGGCGGCCGGACCACCTTGCTGGCGAGCTCGGCGAGCTGCCTGGTCCTGTCTCGGTGCAGGGAGTCTTTCGCGGAGGAAGTTCATTGTCGCTGATACCGATGCCTGGGAAGTTGGCAGACAAGAGATTCGGGAGGGGGGAAGGGAGATCAGTTGACCCAGCGGTTGATGGAGCTGATCTGAGCCG